AATGCGGGAAAATCCGCTTTCGATTACACATTCGCTCATATGCCATCACTAGCTGTGAGCCTCAAACCAAACCTGCGAAAACGAGCGATGAAGAGCGTCACCTACGAAGCATATTTTGCCGCTATCGGCGCCGTCAAAGCCGGTATGGGCAAACGGACAGCGCCAAAACGTACGGGGTCCCTCGCGAATCATTGCGCCAGCGTGTGAACGGTGATGTGCTAATTTTGGCCCATCAAGGGCCACAACTCAAGTTTCTATCGGAAAGGTGGTGATCAAGGTCTGGTGGAGATAAGAACCCACCGCGCACTTCACGGCATGTGTGTAGGGATAGATATACTTCGCTGCATGGTGCGAAGAGCAGCAGAAGCAACAGGAAGGCGGTCATGGACGGATGCTTTGCCTAGCAACAAATTCATCTCGCGATGGCTGAGAAAACACCTTCAACTATCCATCCGACATGTTCAGCTTTTGTCTGTAAAGCGAGCTCAACATTCTACCCCGATGCTGTGATGCGCTATTTCAGCAACATACAGAGCGGCTTAAAGAAATTGGATCTAACGGACAAGCCCGAGAGGATCTGGAGCTGCGATGAGACAGGCATTTGCCAGCAAGGATATGGAGGTGAACGGATCGTTTGCCCGAAGGGACACCTAGCAAACGTTCAACGCTCGAATGACCGCGAATACACCACCTTTCGGCCTGTATTAGCGCTTCTGGTAAAAGGATACCACCAGGGCGTGGGAAATACAATACCCAGTGTTATTTTGCGTGAATCACATCCGTAATAAAGACTGCAATACCTGGCAACACAATAATAATCACTGCATAATCACAATATATTGTTATCACTTAGTCTTCGACGCAACCGAGAAGGGTGGAGCAGTTCCACATACTGCGATTAGCACGAGAAACATGGCCGTTTCAAAATTAGCTGGTAAAGTAGATGAACGTAGCGATGTAAAAACAAGCTTACACTCAGAAAAAGGATATCGCATGTGTTGCTTGTCGGAGGAACGCAGCGCAGGATCATACTCGACAGACGCCTGCGATGCAAGCCGTGCCTTCTTGGCTTGCCGGAGGACGGAGGTCGCGAAGTCGGCCGTAGCAGGCACTTCGTCTTGTAATGTAGACGAAGATAAAATGAAACTGTCGACTGCATGTAATTCATCCACTGAGAGGGGTAGGTCGTTTTGCAGCTTCACTATCGCAGACTCGAAATGGGGCGAGTGAACAATCTCAGCTGTTGGTGCCAAGTAGTTAGCCATGACAGGATACTTAGCAGCACACGCATCAAACAACAGGCGCACCTCGGCAAGCGTGCACGCCTCCGCTTGGATTTTCACACACACACTGTCCAGCTCACGAAGCTTGTCCAATACACCTATAACGCGGCGGTGCGCATGGCCACGAGGCACAAACTCTTCAACAGCCTCCACCCTCAGGATCGCATCACGGATCTTGCAATATCGGTCAATCATCTGGAATGTAGACGACCAGCGCGTAGTGTTTGCCTTAACAGGCTTGTAGTCTGTCGCCTTTGCCAGTGCGGTTGCATTTTCGACATGACGCAGCTGAATCATCAGGTTTTGAATCAGATCTATCTGAGTCTGATAATCCTGCAGAAATCGATTAGCCGCGAGGTTATATCGATGACTTGCACAGCCAATGAGGGAAACGCCCATTCGTGTATCCATACTCTGATTGGTTGCACAATTGTCCTCCACAACAAAGCACACCATCTGCAGGTTCGTCTCGTACACAGTTAGTACGGTGGATATATGATCGAGGTGGGCTTCAGCTGTCTGGCCGTCTTTCATTGGCGAAAGCGCAAGAAGGCGCTGGTGGCGCACACCATTGTAGACGTAGATCGCGTAGATACCGAGGAAGTGGAGTAAGTGACTAGTCCAACCGTCGAACATTAAAGCAAAGGAGGTTCCCATCTCCTTTGCAATGATTGTTCCAACGGCTAGAGCCACATGACGCATGTACCGCTTTAGTGTCTTGGTAGTCGTAGGCTTCATTGTAACTACAGCACGCGTAGCCTTGTTTTCCACTTCAGTGATTGGTAGATTTCTCTCGATCACCCATACCATCCATTGGTAGATATTGCGCGTCTTATCATCCACAAAACCAAACGTGGTGAGTGCTGGCGTCTGCGTGGCATGAAGTTCTGCAAACTCAGCAGCATACCCAGCGTGCTTGCTGTTAAAGTGGCTGAGGAGATTGCTGTACCCCGTGCCGGGCGTCTGCTTCCGAGGAAGCCACAGGATTTACACTCAAAGCGACCTTCGCCGAGGTCGTTGAAGTAGAGTGCGCAGAGTTGACGGGAGGTCATCGTGGGTAGCGTGGTGGGTAGCGTGGCTAAGAGCGGTGGCTTGTTCTCTAGAGAGGAAATTGAGAAGTGGGGAGTGTGCGGATCAAAGCGCGCAGAGTGTATTTGCAAGGCAGTAGAGAACTGTTGGTTGTCAGCGCTCCTGGAAATGGTTGGAAGCGTGGAAAATATTGTATTATTGTGCTCAGTTTTGTATTATATTTATCTTGAAAAAATCAATAGTATCGTTATTCCGTAAATATAATACCCGTAATATTGATATTATACTATTTCCCATGCACTGGATGGAAGGCGCTAAGAAAGAGGCCCGCTGTGCGATGCGTGAAAGCTTAAATTTCAACTTTCACATTGATTCAAATGGTTTGTAAGTCTGCTACACCCTGAGCATCCGCAGTTGCTATTGTTAGATGGCCATTTTGCTCACATCCAAGTCGAGGTTGTAAAGTACGGAGCGCACATGGCGTCCATCGCTTCATTTTGACGGCCCACACGTCCCAATTTCTCTAGCCTCTCGACTTATCCGTCATTGGTTCTTTCAATGCTCGGTATGAGAAAGCCCTCAAGCGTTTTCCAGCACGTAGCAAAAACAAGTTCCTCGCTAAGGCTGATCGCTGGTATTGCCCGCGATCCGTTGATACAGGTATGCTGTTCTCATTAAGCGAAAATAGGATTTGAGAAAGCTGGTATTTTTGCACTGTCATTAGACGTCATGCTGAAAGGAATAGTCGAAAGCAAGCCACCCGTATCTAGTGACTCGCTCCCACATCTCTCGGTCATTTTGGGGCACGTTGTTCCGCCGCTAAAAGAGATTGCGTTCACGGAGCGTCAAAAGCGGATTTTGCGCGAGCGCAGCTTAAATCTGGACGCGCTTAACGTTGTCAATCTGCTGTTGCGTTCAGTCGTAGCTCCCGTTTCGCAGAAACTTAAGCGTGGAGAATGGGTGAACGAAAACGTTTTTTTGCGGGAAGCTGCTAAACTACGAGATGATGTTTACAGCTGTTGAGACCAAAGCTGCTGCCAAAGCCAAAAACTGCTAACAAGAAGTGAGAAACGTGCCTGTCATGAAATGAACCTACATGACAAAATTGAGCATCAGGCCGACAGAACCAAGCGCTTACTACAGTACATAAAGCGAGCGTGATGGCTGCGTTTTTCAAAGCTAAGAAAGCCCGAGAAGAAGTTCCGAGTAAGGGTGCTGCTGCCGGCAAGTCGAACAAAATATATACTCTACCTCTCGGAGCGATAGTGTCAACTACGGAGGAGCAAGACATCATGATGTCGATTCTATTGTAAGTACGGTACTCCATACTTAAGGAAGATGACACGTTTTTTGTCGGCCCTATTTACAAAAATAGCATTTAACAATATAGTGACACGAAATACGTCTGGTACAGATATCAGCAGCACCAATAGGCATTGCTGTCCCTAAGACTTATGAGCTTAAAGCTTCACTAGAAAACCCCGACCATCATGGTTGCATTTACCATCCCGCATCATTTTCGAAGACTCAATCCTCGCCTTCATCGTGCGCTGTTTTGCTCTCGTTGAGATTTGTTCAGTACGAGTGGGCACGGCGTGAAGAAGTGGCCACATTTGGAGGAGTAAGCATCGAAGAAGTGGTGATGCAGGAAGTTACAGCTACAGAGATTTAAATACGTACTTATACGTGAAGCAGATGCTGTGTCACTGCGTATACCAGACCATTAAATGGCGATTAGAGTTCTGTTGACATATTTCAAAGACCTGTTTGTCAAGGATGACAAGGCTCTCGTCTTAAATTTGTTGTGCTATCCCAGCCTTCGCGGAGATTTTGATAGTAGCCAGCTTGCAGCCTTCACCGGTAAGCGATGTTACTTGGACAGGAGATGCGTTTATTTCTCAGTAGCAGCAAATGGTTACTTATGCATGAGATTTTGCAAAAGGGTGCAAACGAAGCGTTTATTACATAACGATTTACGCTGTCATCTTAATTAAAACACGCTTGAAAGTCACACCTCTCTAAGTGGCACCCAATTGGTTGGCCGCAACCGACTATTCATTTGTGCAAGTGTCATTTGTAGAAAATGGCTACATGTAGCCATCTTGGAAAAAGAAGACTGCTAATCGTAAATATATACATGTACGGAGGTGCGATTCTGCCTAAAGAAGCTCAATACGGTTTTGCTTCACACTAAGAAAAAAAGTGGATGTTCGAAGTTTTACACAAACTAAACAGTAGACCTTGATGTCGATATTCACTTTCAAACTAGATAAATAGGCTACCAATGTAAATAAAGAATTCGAGGTGCTCTAGAAAATGGACCAAGCGAAACTCTTATAATCCATAGCTGCATCATGTTGCTTGTGTTGGCATTCACCCCGATGATGTTGGTTGAAGGGTGGTAGAGTTATACTGCGTAGTAGTAGTATAAAAGTGATGGTGGATGACCCTATTATAATACTAAAATTAATGCGACCTCATGAACAGCATGCGAAACATAGCTACAAACTAATCTCAGCCTTCGCGAAGTTTTTACTAGTGATGCTACGCCTCCAGTACAAAATCCGGAGCTTTTCCGCGCAAAGCGCGTGTGTGTTGATATCAGAAGCGCTATCACTCGCGACAACTTCAACGTGCGATTTACTTTATTATCCAGTTAGAGCTACTTCGAAGTATTTCTTTTTACATTCAAACTGCTGTGTGTTCAGCCACATAGTTGAGGTACCGCAGGAGCTTCTTCATCTTGAGAGTTTCGCCAAGCTTTTCCATCGCCCTTGCAGAGTTAGCTGCAGCTGCAATCTTGTCGGTAAGTTTTAGCTTGGCAGCGTAGTCGTCAACAGTCATCCCAGCTTTCAACATCGTTTTCATCTTCTCTGTATTCAGAGCCCTTGCTTCAGAGTCATCGTCGTTTTCAGCTGCCGTGTAGTGTTTCCTCAGTAGACGCTGGGCTGGGCCTACCAAATTAGCAGCCTGAACACCCGTGTTCGTCGAGAGCGCTTCCGTGGTAACCAGGAATGAAGCCGCAATTACAGCGATCACATAAGAGAGGCGCATGGTTTGTTGGCTCGGAACTTGAGGGCTGGACAGCAACTTTGGAAATGAGTGTCGCTTTCAGTCGACCTATGTTTGCTGTGTGCTGCACAGCACCCTGTGCATCCGGCCATTCACAAGGTATAAAAAGCATTCTTCAAGATCGGTGGTGTAGCGGCATCGACACCTTGTCCTTTAGGTACTGTATTTAAGCCATTCATTGAACCTAGTACAAATGAAATGGACCTCTCTCAAAAAAAAGACAAGATCAGAGGTACCGCTGGTTCCCGGTGTTCTGCCGGTTTTGTTTCTGTAATACTTCTTAATACGCGAATAACTTGTATACGCTCATGTGTTACTCAAAATTTCCTTGCGCGGTTCTTCGATTGAATGCACACACAATAGCGCAAATCTGTTATTGACTTGCCTTGAGCTTAAATCCACTTAAAAACGATCTGGGCCGTTTCAAAATAACGGGAAATTTGTAAGCAAGTG